GAAGGAAGGTCTTGCAAAATGTGGCAAATGCAAACAGGCCTTTTACTGCAATGTGGAATGTCAGGTAAGATCTTACAATCCCTTTTATGTATAATGGTGAGCAGACTATCTGCATCAGAGAATGTATGCAAAAGTTATCAACAGCTAAAAAAGTACAATTTTTGCATGCCTTTAACTGCCGGAGTCATCTAGAGCAATTCAAATAGGTTTGAACCAGGAAAGAAAAAAACATTACTCAAAATAGACTTGGTTGTAAGACTTGAGGCCCTTTCACACCCAACGCAGTAGGATGCAGTTGGCTGCATTTTAGACTGCGCTCCAACTGCATAGACAGTCATAACCAATGTAATCCTATAGGCATAGTTCACATCATTGCAGTAGATCATGCTGCATTTTTCTGCACTGCGAATGTGCTACAAACTCTCTGCAAATGTGCACTGCACTTCTTCACTGCACTGTTCCCATTTTAAAAAACAAAAAATATATATATATATATATATATAAAATTTATTACTGTTCCTGGATGTGTGTGTGGTGAACCAGTGTACAGCAACAATGGCATACAGGTCACCCATAGATACAGAGGACTTCATCACAATGGTCCTGGAGTACCCTGTGCTCTATGACCCCAGACATAAGCGTTATAAGGGCAACAAAAGAAAAATCCAGATCTGGGATAAAATTACAGCAAGCATCTACCCAGATTACGACGAAATGGACATAGACAGAAAGGAGAACACTGGTAAGTTGATCACTGCATGTGTTTATCAGGATAGCTATATCAGTCATAAAGTCTTCCAGAACACAGTGCAGTGGTCACATGGACCCCCAGACATCACATGGACCCCTCTTCTCCCTGTACCAATGATGGGACTTGCTTCTCTCTACAAACTACAAAGAAATGGGGACCTCAAAAGAAATCGAAGAAAGCCAAGTCCCAAATGCAGTGCAAAATGCATGCAAACGCACAGCAAGCGTGCATAAAGCGTACGTCAAATTCAATTCATGGATGTAAACATGCATTCAAAGATATGCAGTTTCTGGTGTGCATGGGCCCTTAGTAACCTAGAGCATTTTATGTTTCTATCTATCTCAGATTTTGGTGTACTGCAGTGAAAGATGAATTCAGATTGGCTGCTGTAGACTGAAGTATGTTCAGAGACTAACTGAACCCTGCATTTTATTACTGAATTGCAGTCGGGTTGTACATACAATAATACATATGGAAATCTTGTACTTTTGGGCTTTAGTGCCGGTTCACACAGATGTGGTGTGGGATTCGCAGTGAATTCTGTGTTTCCCTCGCCGCATCAGAATCTCACTCCGTTCATGTGAACCACTGCAGGTCTCTATGTAAAGTTGACACCCCAAACGCAGTGCGATTTGGTGAATCAGATCACATGCCCATGCGATACAATTCAAGTTGGGGTGGGGGGGTGTATGCACCTTTCCTGCGGATGCAGTGCAGTTTGTGGTGCGATTTGAGCCATACAAAATGAATGGCACAGATTACACTGCAAAGAATCGCATGTTATTTGAACAGGAATGCAGTATGATTCCTGTCTGAATTGCATGCTGTTTCCCGCACCACGGTAGTGTGAACCGCCACTTAATATGTTGCAACTTAGCAGTCCTTAGATGTGGTGTCTGCATTTTGTTTCCTTTTTCATACGTATTTTCTGCAGGTTCAGAAAATACCTTTTGTATGACCAGAAATCCAGTGTCCTAGTAATTTCCTTTGCACTGATCTGAAATTTCAAGTGTTTGCAGCCTTACCAGTTCTCTTCTGTGGTCTACAGAACATTTCCCCAATATGCAATGGATAAAATGGAAAGGGTTAGACATCCAAATCAAAAGAGCAGTCTAGGGTGACCATGCTGCTCTTCCATAGATACAGAGCAGCGAGCATCAGCAAATGTGGTGTTGACAGGATCATCAGGTGAAAATTAAGAAAACAAAAACCTGGAAATGGTAAAACAATGCAGCCACCACATCTAAGAACTGGTAAGCTGCAGTATATTAAACATTTTGTTCTTGAGTTCAGGTATGTGTTAATGCTTGTTGCACATCACTGGGTGTCTTAGGTGTCTTTCATATGGGTGGCTGGGGGAGCAGTAAAAGCAGGCAGTTGAGCCTTTGTTTTACCACCCCATGACCAGCCGCCTAATGTCTACAATACAGTCAGATTGGCTGTTCAAATGTTGCATCCGCTGCTAAATTAGTGCAGCATGCCGAGTTGACAGGTAGCACTGCACTAATCCATTCAAGGCAATGGGGCTTTGCTGCAACTGTGAGCCAAATGCTTGACTTGTGACTGTGGCTCATTAGCCCATTGAAAACTGTCCTGAACGCCTGACCGTGGCTGCTTCGCCATGCTCTGAAGGCCATTCACTGCAGATCGATTTTCATGAATGGGCAAATGTGCACTTGGCCCTGTTTTGAAGAAGCATATTGATGTAAACCCGTGTAGCCTATACATCTAAGCAATTTCCAGATGCCAACTATGAATTAAAGCCGGTCATTAATCATATCAATTTGAAATGCTGGTCACTTTTCCACTCTGCTTGATCCTGCCTGAGGATAGGTTTTAATTAGCAGTGCCTATGAGGAAAGCAAATTTGGCTATAGACTGATTATTTTTTTTTTTTTTTTTTTTTTTTTTTTCTTCACCAACTGAAACTTTTCCCAAAGTTCTAATCTTGCGGATGAAAATCTACAAGGACAAGCGCAATGTGCTGAGATAAGTGTTCTCTCTCCAGTCAGAGAAAATAAACTTGACATCATATGAAAGAGTGGAGTCCTTGGAGTGCTCTGTAACCATTTACGCTCTGTTTTTAAGCATTGATCCTTGTTCTTATTTCCAGAATTCAGACTCCCATTTTTTTTATTTTTTTTTTATGCTTTGTATGATTTTTTTAGAAGTATCCACCATGTCCAGTTGGCTCTGATCAGGCTCTGTATTCTGCAAAGCGGAAAAAGTAAACGTGTGCGGGAATTTATTAAACCTGGAGCAGAGTCTGGGTAGCTGTGTATAGTAACCAATACGCTTCCAACTTCAGCTTGTGCAATTCTGCTTTGAAAATGTAAGCTAGATGCTGATTGGTTGCCATACACAGCTGATCCAGATTCTGGTTGCTCCAGTCTTAATAAATTATCCTCATGGAATGTTGAGCCCACATAAATGCTCACTCGGAACTTGTACACCACTCTAGACTAGGGTTTCATGGAAACGTAGGATTCCTCCAGAGGTTGCTAGGGGTTCCTTAACCACTTCCAGACCGGACACTTTTACCCCCTTCCTGACCAGGGCAATTTTCAGCTTTCAGTGCTATCATACTTTGAATGACAATTGCGCAGTCATGCAACACTGTACCCAAATGCATTTTTTACCATTTTTTTTGAGACAGATAAAGCTTTATTTTGGTGGTATTTATTCACCACTGGGATTTTTTTTTTTTTTTGCTATGTAAATGAAAATGTCCAAAAATTCTGAAATGTGTTTTGTTTTTTTCTTTTGTTTTTCTGCAAATAATATTTCATCATAAATCTTGGCCAAAATTCCGTTTTTTATCTTTTTAGTAAAAAAAATCCAAATTAGTTTATAACCAAAAATTATAATTTTTAAACTTTTTTTTTTTATTTTTTATTTTTTTTACATACTGTCACCCTAGCAGTACAGTGTCACCATGGTGACACTGTACTACTTGTGGGGGGTGATGGAGTTTTTTTTTTTTTTTATATACTCTAATTGCTTTTACACCCATATAGGATGTAAAAGCAATCATTTCTCTTTCTCTCTGTCTGCATTCTTGCAGTCATTGAGAAGTACTGAGTGAGCTGTGATTGGTCACAGCTTGTCACATGGTACAAGGCTGTTGTGAATAGCTTTGTACCATGTGACCTCTGTGATTCACAGATTTCACACGTAGTAAGCAATGATGTCACAAGTGACATCTTGCTTACTACTTTGCATGTGATCACTGATTGGCCAATCAGTGATCACATGATCGGGACCTCATACAGAGGTCCCGTCTGACGATCAGTGTTTCACTGTGTCCCGAGGACACAGCGGGCACCGGATTGCGGTGCTGCATGCTCCCAGGGAGCGCACACAAGCAGGGTGCGGGGAGGCCGTTTATAAACTGCCACCCAACCCTGCACTGCCACCGTCCGGCCGTTTTATATACAACGGCCGGTCGGGAAGTGATTAAGCAAGGGACATCTTCTACCTGTCAGATAAGTTGCCACTGGAACCAATTATCTTTTTAGCTATCTGTGAGAGGGGAATTGATCCCACTGACCACAAATGTAGGAACAATTCTGTGTGACCACCACACTAATGTATTGTGAGCTTTAGGTGCAGGCATTTTTAGCAGGGGTTTCCTGAGACCCCAAGAATTATTTCAAATGGTCCTCTGTGTTTAAAGGTTGGGAAAGGCTGCTTCAACAGTCCAAGTTCAACATCGGGTTATGTGGTCCCCCCAAACAAGTGATGCGCCTCCCCCAGTGTGTAGGATATTTTATATATAGGTTTTTTTTATATAATATCTATTTATTATTATTATACAGGATTTATAAAGCGCCAACAATTTGCTCAGCGCTTTACAATATAACAGGATCAATACAGCAATAATACAGTTCAATACAAGAGGGAAAGGAGGGCCCTGCTCCTTGGAGCTTACAATCTAGGAGGGAGGGGCTAGTGGTACAAAAGGTAATAACTGTGGGGGATGGACTGGTTGGAAGAGTAGAAGATTCCATTATTAGCTGAGGGCAGGATAGGCTTCCCTGAAGAGAGGTTTTCAAAGATCGCCTAAAAGTGAGCAGAGTAGGCGATAGTCTGATAAATTGTGGTAGAGAGTTCCAGAGGATGGGGGAAGCTCTGGAGACGTCCTGGAGACAAGCATGGGAGGTGGAGACAAGGGAGCTAGAGAGCAGGAGGTCTTGTGAGGAGCGGAGAGTACAGTTTAGGTGGTATTTGGAGACAAGATCGGTGCTGTAATTTGGGGCAGAGTTATAAATGGGTTTATATGTTCTTGTTAATGCTTTGAATTTTATCCGTTGGGCAATGGGAAGCCAATGGAGGGATTGGCAGAGAGGGGTGGCAGATACAGAACTGTTAGTAAGGTGGATGTGTCTGGCAGCAGCATTCATGATAGACTGAAGAGGGGATAGCCTGCAATGAGGTAGGCCAATGAGGAGGGAGTTACAATAGTCAAGGCGAGATATAACCAGGGAGTGAATAGGTTGCTTAGTGGTTTCTGAGGTTAGGAACGGCCGTATCTTGGAGATGTTGCGGAGGTGAAGTCTACAAGATTTGGACAGTGATTGGATTTGGGGCTGAAAGGACAGATGGGAGTCTAGGATTACACCTAGTACCCTGGCATGAGGGGAGGGACTGATGATTGTGTTCTTGATCTCGATGAAGAAGTCAGAGGAGGGGGCACGGGCTGGGGGGAATAAACCAGTGGTGGGATTCTCGGAGATGCAAAGGGCAGTGCTTCCATGATGACCTCAGTGCTGCATTCTGCATTAATAGGGTGCTGTGCTGACAACACATCAGAGGGCATGGCCATAAGGCCCTGCATAATATAACATGTCTCCAGCCTTCTGGATTGAATGACATTGACCATTGTTCAACCTGGAAAACTGAGCACATCTTGTGGTAAAAAGAACTGAAGGAAGCAGTAAAGTTTGGTATGCAGAGTAAGAAGCTGTGTTGCATTTTGTTCCCATCTCTTTTGTCACGGTTGAAAATGTTGTCACTTTTTATAAAATAAAGATACTTTGATGTGTTAGATTTGTGAATTGAGCATAATGCCAATTGTTTTTAGAGATTGATGCCGTGACTTTATTTTATCACTTATGCATTTGTGTGTTTATTTAAGCAAAAAAAAAAAACTTGTCATGGCTACACATGTGCCTCACCTGTATCTATTTTTGCAAGTGAATTGTGTGCATGAAAGTGGGAGCTTGGATTGTGCTCTGCCAATTTTTATTTCAATATAAAAAAAAGAAAACCTATGTAATCCAATGATTTCATTTGTCCAGATGAATGGAGAACTTCATTCTTGGATTTGCAGCTATTTTCCTCTCTCGGGATCCTCTTCGTGTCTTCTATGTAGAAAGGAAACACATTTCACTCGACCTTTGTCTGCAGAGAAGACAGTTGTATCCTTGTTTTAATGGCTCTGCTGTTTTTCTGACCATGCAGAAAGGAGACTGGCCCATGCACAAGTTGGAGTGTTCCGCCATGTGTGCCTACGGAGAGAAATGGAATCCTTCGGAAACTGTAAGACTGACTGCAAGGATACTGGCCAAACAGGTGAGGCTGGGAAGGAAACCAAATATTATTATTTTTTAGCAACATAAAAAACATTTAAAAAAAAAAAAAAAATTACAAGGGCCTATCTTGAGGCAAATGATTGTCAGTATGTGATGTTCATGGGTGCTAAGTACACCCAGAGGTTTACATTGATCGGAGTACGAACATGAAGAAAAGTCTGATGTTGATGATCCTTGGGCTTATTCTGTTGGCCAAATTCAGTGTTCTTTCAAGTGCATTTAACTTGCATTTGAGATGCTTCTGAGATTGAGTTCATTAACTGGTGAATTTTGACCTGCAGCTAACCTCCTTTTTTGATGTGCATTTGACAACCTTATAGACTGCAGCAAACCTGCTTTTGCATTTCCATCAACTTGTATGTGGAGAGAAGCAGTTTTAATGCAAACAGAAGCCATTAAATCTGACTCCTAGTCTGATGCATTGTGAATGTGCTTACACTGAAAATGCATTTAGTTCTGACAAATATTTTTGAGTGTTACAAATGCTGGGATTTACTTCTATAATGCAGTATATATCAACGTGCAAATATAAAAGTTACCTTTTTTTTTTTTTTTTTTTTTTGTTTAATTTTTCACAACATGTTTTCTTTAATAGGCTAACATTTTTTGCTCTGCCTAAATTCATGGTTTCAAGTATGCGATGCCAGTAGTCAAAATGAAGTGAGAATTCCTGATTTGGGATTATTATTGTAGCTCCAAAGCACCGAATACGAAGAATAGGCATTGCAGCCAAACGGCAAGCCTGTTCAGCCATGGCAGCTGCTAACTTGCTGCTTCCTCCTCTTACACTGCAGTGCTCTTTGTTGGCATAGTTGAGTAATAGCCATACTCCTCATCATAGGACAATTGCCCTCATGCAGACCTTTTTTGCAGAGAAGGGTGGAGTGGCATTTTGTTCAGATCTGTTGCTAAGTACTGAGTGCAAGGGGCTAACTGGTTCATATTGAACAGTTTGGTTTATCTAATTATCCTGTACAGCTTCTATAACAGTAAAGTGAAGCTCTGACTCTGAAAATGGAAGTTGGCAGTACAAAGTCTACCTGACTGCATATCTATTTCTTTTCATGACAAGGGCAAAAAAAAAGTTTAAATTTTTTTTTCTAGTCTGATATTAATATACGGTCTGCTATCCAGCCAGCAGGTGGAGCTATAGTGTCACTTTCCCACCATTGGCACAATTTAATTTCAGTTGTGCTGAAAGAGGCCCTTATCAACAAAACTCAGTCTGACAATGGGAGCTGCAAAACAAACTGGTCTGCCCTGCTGTCTATAGCTATGCCTTTTGTAGAGCTGTTAGTACTGATCTTCAATTTAATATTGATCTTTAGTCTAGTAACAGCTACAGCTCTCATGTACTAAGCCACCTTACTTGGCAAGAAGAACCTAGGTGCATTCATCCCAGTGATTCTTTTTTTTAGAGTGTGGAAGAAAAATGGACGCCAGTCACTTTTTAAAGTTAAACTTCAAGAGACTTGTTTCACTGGTGCCTTGAGGGAGCATAGGGCACCCGAAGGGCTATGCTGGCTGGACAATAAACTTAGAACATGGATCCTTGGCAATTGAGGTCCAAGTGTTATCTCAAGCTTTGTGTCCCAAGGCAGGACATAAAGATTGAGGACAGTTTCTGCTTGCTTCCATTATGCTAGAACAGGCCATCACTTGCAGCCGGCATCTTCTGTGTTTCCTCCCAGGAGGGGAGATTCCTGCAGCACTCCAATTCCTAGGCCCAAAGATCTGAGGGAGAGACCGTTCTCCACAGGGACATCCTCACCAGGCAGAAGCACAAAAAGGAAGACCCTGTGCCAGGAAGAGTCTTAGATATTTAATATCTTCCCAGCTAGCTCATTGGGCCCCTTCAAGCCTCCCAATTGTCATTAGACATAACACTGAGCTTGCTCTAGCTGGGTGTTGAAAAGGGATCTTCAACAACAAGCCACTAGAAGGGAAAAAAAACAAACCACACACTCCCTGCTTAAAGAACATTAACAGGCGCACATATGGGCAAGCCGACCATAGCTCTCTACTTCCTATGGAATTTAGAAAATTACTACATTCTTACATGTTTTCTGATTTTAAAAATGTATAATAAATTTTAGTAACCGGGTCTCCTTTTAAATTCTTGCATATCCTAACCTGTCAGCAGAAACATATTGTAATTTTATAAATTTTTTTTTTTTTTTCCTAACCTTAGTGCAGGAACGGAACAGAAATCTAGCACATTGTCAAGGTTACATAAAAGACATTACTTTGCCATAGATATATTTCTCGCCTATTACAGTTAACATTTTTGAATCTGATTTCTAAAGCGCTGTTGGACAGTGGAAGCCTTAAGATTTTTTTTTTTTTTTTTTTTTCAATCTTGCAACAAAAGACACAGCAATGGCAAGACTTTAGTTGGTCTGCCTGGAGCTCTCTCTGAAATAATAAAGGAGAAAAAGCCTAACGGAGCACAAACAAACGCTGTTCTTTTAAGCATCGAAAAACTGACTGGCAAGAATGTATAATGGCTAGCTTGTAGGAATAGATAAACACCCTATACTCTATGAAAGCTTAGTATGCAAAATACAGTCCTCTTAACCTCAGCTGCTGGGCCACCTGCAAACCCATATTTAATGGCCAAGATTACAAAGTGGTGGCCCGAGGCCAACAGCTGAGCTATGCGTTTTATACTCTGTCAACAGCGAATGGATCCACTTACCTCAAAGTCCGACTTGCATGTCTGCCTTATTTGGATGCGAGAGAAACAAAGGGAAATTACATATTTAAATGAACCCTGCTATTTTTCTGATCTGATGCTACATGCAGATGGAGGATGTTCAAGATAGAGCCTTATGGCAATGTGGGTTTAAAAGAAGAAAAAATAAAAACTGCAACTTAAATGGACAACCACTAAGCTAGATGGTAATTAGAACTGGTGATCTCTGCCTTTCTCTCTGTTCATTGTTTATTCAGCCAATTGATGTGATTGATTTTTTTTTTTTGTCCTAGAAAACTTGCAAAGAAAGAACACCGTCGGAGAGGTTCTTGACAGTTAAGGAGTTTGAATCTCGTAAGCATCATGTTTTTTCATTTATTCGAACTCCTAGTCTTGTAAAAAGTGTGTGTGCGCTTTTTTTAATGTTTTGACACACTAGATGTTTTCATTTAAAGAACATGTTGCAGTTTTGTATTTGTACATATGTGGCTGTCAATATACAGTTGGGGAAATATTGTTAGCAGACGAGGAAAGAGGGGTTTCGTTACAGATTTATATTCTGTAAAGCTGCCCATTAAAGTGTGTTTGGAGTGTTTGTTGGTTTTGGGTTTTTTTTTTTTAAGTAAAAAAGAAACCCATCAAAAAAGGACACTCAAGCTAGAAAGATGGAGGAATCCTCCCCACTGTGCCATTGTATTGAAAGCAGGACTCATCTGCTGTCAGAACACACTGATCTGCGGCTGATTGGCAAGTTTTCCAACATATGTTTTCGATTAGAAGTTGATCGTTTGAACGACTTCTGCAAGTGGAAACAGCCATAGGTGGATTAAAATTTGGTTTAGTCCCTGCTGAACTGGCTGACTTTTGATCCATCTATGGCCAGTTTAAAGTGATTGATTGTAAAGGGTTGTTTATTTTATATTATTCCCTGTGTCTGTTTTTTTTTTTTCTTTTTTGATTAAGAATAGACATGTCTTGCTTGCCTGCTCTGTGCAACGGTTTTTCACAGGGCAGCCAAGACCCTCCTCTTTTAAGGTCCCTGTTGGTGCTCCTGGCTCCTCCCCACCCTGCTGAGTGCCCCCATAGCAAACCACTTGCTATGGGGCACTCATGCCTGCGCTCTCCCAAACCCTGCTCTGTGTGTCCTCACTTGCTGTGATTGACTCCTGCTGCTGTCAATGGCTCCCACTGCTGTGACTGAGCCAATGAGGAGGGGGAGACCCAGGAGAGCTGCTGGTCTCGTTCACATCACTAGATAGGGCTCAGGTAAGTATATGCAAGTGTTGGGCATGAAAAACTCATATGCTTTATTTCATGTTTGTCATTTTTGCCATTGATATATTGTTCTAAAATTACTAACTGCTTGGCTGTTATTTTGTCTTTTTGAGTCCGAGATCTAACTTCTGTTATTACCCAAAATCCTTTCTTTTCCTACTAAGTTCTCAAATCTGGGGTGTGAGCTGAGGATCAGAAGGAGGAGGTACTTGGGTTCACTTTTCCGAGTAAGAGACCCCTGGATAGGTATTTCCAGTCTGTTGATCTTAATTAGTATTCCTTAGAGTAGACAAGGTGTGGGATGGTGAACTGCAGGGTTTGAAAACTGTTGCACTTCCATACCATCCAGCACAACAGGAGTAGGCAGATCACTTACTGTAATTTTTTTTTTTTTCTCTTAACTGTGCCCTGAACCATGTGACTGGACCCATCCTTAAGAGTTTTGTAGCTGTAGCTTTGTTTCTTTGTTTCCTCAGACATGAGCAAGTTGGACAATGAGAAGAAAGAGCTCATTCAGAATGATATTGCAGCCTTACACCATTTTTTCTCCAAGAATTTGCACTATTCTGACAATGCATCTCTAGAATTCCTCTTTGCACAGGTGAGGATCCCTCCTTTCATGGAGCAGCTTCACATTTGTTTATTGGGTCTTTATGTGGATCTTATAATTACACCCAGGGGAACAGACAGCGGGCGCCTTCTGCAATGCTCGTTTTCCTTTTCAAATCTGAATTCGAAAGGAAAAATCACTTTGTTGCAAATGACCAGTGGCAGTTGGTGATCACATGTGCTTTATGCATTCTTGCTCCCCTTCATCTTTTTTTGTAGAATAACCTATATGGTGTTTAGAAAATGCAGTTTATATGAAAAAAAAAAAAAAAAGGCAACGTCCTATGACTGGTCAGACAGTGGGTTGTTTATTTTACATTTTTACATATTAGGCAAGAAAGAGGAAAGAGCTGGAATGGGACAAACGCTGTGGGCCAATCCTTGACTGATCAATGAGAGCAGTTCTGAAAGGATAAGCCAAATATTTTTGAGACCATGAATTGTCTTTTTGGCAGTGGCCGGTCACTGCAAATAGCACCTATATATGTAAGCGCCCATTTTTAAAGGAAAAGGGATATGTATTCTGTTATACTTTGAAGGGTTTTGCACAGCACAGCCCACATTTTACAGCTCCTGTATAAAAGGAGGGCCATATGTAAGTAGAAAAAAAAACTTCAGCCCAGCTTCCTTCCATGATGCCTAGGAGAGGATAACACCACCAAGATCCCAGGACATGCCCTTGGATATTGTGGAATTTGGAGATACTGAGCATTCCAAGCATCTTGCTGGAAATATATATATTGTGTGTGCACCAAAGGGCTGGAACGTGGTACAATGAGTGTCGGCAGGCAACCAAAAAGTATGGTGGAGGTTTCCTTCCAAGTTTGGGGCTGTATTTCTGAAAATAGAGTTGGAGATTTGTTCAGGATCAATGGTGTCCTCGATGCTGAGAATTACAAGTAGATATTTATCCATCGTGCCATACCATCAGCGAGGCGTGTGATTCGCCCCAAATTTATTCTGCAGCAGGACAACAGCCCCAACCATAAAGCCAGTATCATTCAGCACTATCTTCAGTGTAAAGAGCAAGGAGTCCTGGAAGTGATGGTTTGGCCCCCACAGAGCCCTGATCTCAACATTGAGTCTCTCTTGGATTACATGAAGAGTCCGAAGGAAGGCAGCCTACATCCACAGAAGGTCTGTAGTTAGTTCTCTAAGATGTTGGGGCACAACCTACCTGCCGAATTCTTTCAAAAACTGGCTTGATGATGACCGGGCTGCACAGTGGGGGGTAAGTGACCGCAGTCCAGACAGGGCTAACACAGAACACGGTCGCCACTCACCGCCTGCTCTGCGGCCATGCCTGTGTCTCCTTTCCTGGCTATCCTGCCCCACCAATGATGTCATCCTATCAGCAGAGTAGAGGGTGGGAGGGGCAGGAGATCTGAACACAGAATGAGGAGTCTTTTCATATAACCAAGCAAGCAATCACCCCCTTGTTAATATGATCCAGATCTGCACCTGTTCCTGCCCTACTGATAGAATTACATCATCGGCTGGGCGGGAGACCCTAGAGAGGACACACAGGCTGAATCCTACCTCTGCCCTGCTGAAGGTAGGACTGTACAAGGGAGGCAGAGTAAAAGGGGCACTGCGATTAGAGAGGGAGAAGGGGGGATGACTGCAAGGACACTGATGGACGGCTGTGATTGCTAGGGGCACTGTGATATAAAGGGGGCTGCAATGTAAACGGGCACTGCAATCATTACAGTGCATATCACAGTGCCCCTTTACATTACAGTGTGGAGGACCGACTCTATCTCGCCAACCGTGCCAGTGAACACCAGCCCCAAATTCCCTCCGCCAGGTCCCTGTGTGTGTTGTACAATAGTGCCCCCTCCAAAAAAAAAAAGTTACATACTCTCCCTCTCTCTCTCTCTCTCCCTTTTTCTATTTTAGAAATTGCTGGCATGATTTCTTTCTTTTTCTTTCTTTTGTTGTCTTTCCTTACAGCTAGTATAATTGGTTATGGCAAGTGACCCCTTTTCACCCTCCCCATCATGCATTCTTCTATCTCCCACTTCCCTAAGCTGTCAGAAAACTCTGGCTAATGTGAGGACAGAAGTCACCAGGGGACTCTTCAATTAGTTAGGCAGCTGTTATTGTTTAGAAACTGAGAACCATTGTTTTCTAATTGAGGAATGCTATCACGAAAACATAACTGAATATAGAAATGGAGGATTCAAGCTATGCTATCCTGCTTTTCCAAACTCTTACAGTGGACCTGTCATTTTGGCTTGCATTGCTTCAGTTGTGTTTTATACTAGCTAGTCCTTCTATACTATACTGAATGAGAAAACATTTCTTGAAGATTTTATACAATTTGTAAAACAGCAGTGTGCACAGTAAGCTTTTGCAAAGCTTTCAGCTAGCTTCAGTTTCTAGATATTCAACACAGATCTAATTAGAATTAGAGGCTGCCATTTTAAAGTGAACCGATGCTCTGACTATGCACAGGTATAGTTGGCTGTGGCACACTCTCTGGGTCCAGAGCCGCTGGCATTGCCTCAGCTCTTGCCCTGTCTCTGAATGTTTACTTGGTAAGTAATCTGGTCAGGCCAAACACTATTGCTTTCTTAGAAGTTGGAAGACACCAATATTCCCTGTATTCTGTCAGCTTTGCTGTGGAAAGATGGTGACTTTGTGGGACTGAGCGCTGATGTTGTCTGCTGTGTGGAGTATTGCATGCACTCCATGCTCCTCTCCTGATGTGTGTTGTTTTTTTTTTTTTGTTTTTTTTTCTCCCATCCTTGCAGTGTCGAGGAAACATTCTCACTGATACCCCTGTGTGCAAAGAGCTACGTAGAACTTCAGTCATCAAACTGTTCATGCTGCCAGCCCACAGTGACTTTGGTCACCTCCAGCCATCCTCTGCTACCAGCTGTCTAGCTTCCATGAGTACTCGTCATTGTCTTTTACCTTGAGCTTATGTTGCCTTACTGCACTCTGGCTGCAACATGTTTGATTCTAGACACAGCATGGGGGCAATTCTGCTGTTCCCACTGCCCCCAGTTAACTTTCTAGTCATTTGGTATGCAGCCTGGAGTCATGCTGTCCTCTGTTAGTCAGTCCGCAAGCACTGCTTGGCTCTATCAGGGGTGGCTGGGTCATTTTTAGGCTAAGATTTTTTTTACCATAGTCATGCAAGACTATTACCCAGTTCACCGAGTTATTCGCTGACTTTGATCACAGTGTCACAAGTGCCATCAAGTGTCCTCTCAGCAGATTCTGTATCTGATTTTAGCCCTGGCCTTAGTGGTTTCTTAGGCTTTGGTCGCAGACTCTGAATCGTTCAAGTCATTGACTGAGTTTAGTCCAGAGGAGTCAATGTTCACTGCTATTGACTGATGTGAATGTACAATATATATATATGTAAAGTGCTGCGTAAATTGAAAGCGCTATATAAGTACCTGAAATAAATATTACTGTTTTTGGTCCTTACTGATGCAATGCACACTACTCCTGAAAATAGAGAATTAGTCTGTTAATTCTACATGTGCTGTTTCTAGTCTTAAAAATTTAGAATTCTGTAGGATGTAAAGCTTTCCCTTTTTTGCATCGTTTTTTCCAACTTTTTATCTTAACCCTGATAAGTTGTTTGGTCCCCTGAAGCACTTGTTAGCCTTGTATTTGTTTTGTGGGGATATTGTGCAGAAGTTGTCCATTTCCACTGTGGATCTGGCAGGAAAGTACACTGCTCAAAAAAAATTAAAGGAACACTTTTTTTTTAAACAGAGTATAGCATCAAGTCCATTAAATTCTTGGGATATTGATCTGATCTGTTAAGTAGCAGAGGGGGTTGTTAATTTCATTAACGCCAAAGCAAAACCGATTAACAGGTGCACTTGTTGGGCAACAATGAGGCACCCCCCCCCCCCCAAACAAGGAATGGTTTTATAGGTGAAGGCCACTGACCTTTTTTTCCCTACTTATCTTTTCTGACTGTTTTTCACTAGTTTTGCAGTTGACAAGGGTCAGTGTCACTACTAGTAGCATGAGGTGATACCTGAACCTTACAGAGATTGCACAGGCAGTCCAACTCCTCCAGGATGGCACATCAATACGTGCCATTGCCAGAAAGTTTGCTGTGTCTCCCAGCACAGTCTCAAGAGCATGGAGGAGATTCCAGGAGACAGGCAGTTACTCTAGGAGAGAAGAACAGGGCTGTAGAAGGACTTAACCCATCAGCAGGACCAGTATCTGATCATTTGTGCAAGGAGGAACAGGATGAGCACTGCCGGAGCCCTACAAAATGACCTCCAGCAGGCCACTGATGTGAATGTCTCTGACCAAACAATCAGAAACCAACCTCATGAGGGAGGACTGAGGGTTGACATCCTCTAGTGGGCCCTGTGCTCACTGCCTGGCACCATAGAGCTCAATTTGGCATTTGCCATTGAACACAAGAATTGGCAGGTCTGCCACTGGTACCATGTCCTTTTTACAGAGAACAGGTTCACCCTGATCACATGTGACAGACAGGAGAGGGTCTGGAGAAGCCATGGAGAATGTTATGCTGCCTGTAACATCATTCAACATGACGGTTTTGGTAATGGGTCAGTGATGGTCTGGGGAGGCATACCCATGGAGGGAAGCACAGACCTCTACAGGATAGACAATGGCACCCTGACTGCCATTAGGTTTTGGGATGAAATCCTTGAACTCGTTGTCAGACCATGCACTGGTGCAGAGGGCCCTCCCTTGTGCACGACCATGCCCGACCTCATGTAGCGAGAGTATGCAGGCAGTTCCTAGAGGATTAAGAATTGATACCATTGAATAGCCCCCATGCTAGCCCGATCTAAATCTAATAGACCGCCTCTGGGATATCATGTTTTGGTCCATCCGATGCCGCCAGGTTGCACCTCAGACTGTCCAGGAGCTCAGTGATGCCCTGGTCCAGATACTCCAGGACACCATTCGTCGTCTCATTAGGAGAATGCCCCGACGTTGTCAGGCATGCATACAAGAACTTGGGGAACATACAAACTA